GGGGTCCTCCAGGGACGACCACCTCCTCATGCCGCTGGAGGGGGACACGATAAGGATGTCACCACCACTTCCGGTCCTGAAAAACAGATCCCAAAATGAAACAGTCGCCCATGGTGTCTGCTGGCACATGAGAGGGGCCTTGTCCCCAGTGTCTCTCTCTGCAGAGACCTGGGGAAGGAGAAGGGAATTGGAGACCCCAGTAAGCCTAGGATAGGGCTTGGCTCTTGTGAGATCCATAGGGCACCCAGAATCCCTTACAACAGGATGCCTTGAAACCTCCCGGAGCCCTGCCCAGCCCTCACGGTGATCCTGGGGGTCTGCATGGTACCAGAGCCCTTGCCTGTCCGGCATGGTGATCCTCTGTGTCTGCAACGTCCTCTTGCAAGTAATAGAGGAGCCAACAAGGAGAGGTGCCATGCTTTATCTTGTACTCACCAAGGAGGGGCTGGTTGGGAAAGGGATACTCCAGGGCAGCCTTGGCTGTAGCAATCACGAGATGGTTGAGTTTGAGATCCTCAGGACAGTAAGAAGGGTATACAGCAAGCTCACTGCCCTGGGCTTCACGAAAGCAGACTTTGGCCTCTTCTGGAACCTGCTTAGTAAGGTTCCACAGGATAAAGCCCTGAAGGGCAGGAGGGCCCAAGACTGCTGGTCTATATTCAACGATCAACCGGCTTGAGGAAAGGGATGCTTGTATCCTGACCTACAAACTCAGGAGTGTTGTGTAAGGACTAGAAGGAAATGTGGCAGGAAGGCCAGGAGACCTCCATGGGTGGATAAGAAACAGCTGAGAAAACTTAGAAGGAAAAAAGAAGCTTATAAAAGGTGGAAGCAAGGACAGGCAGCCTGTGCAGAATACAGGGACATCGTCCGGGAAGCTAGGGACCAGGTTAGGAAAGCTAAGGCCCAGTTAGAATTAAATCTGGCAAGGGATGTGAAAGATAACGCGAAGGGCTTCTATAGGTATGGAGCAAACAAAACACAGACTAGGGATAATGTAGGCCCTCTCCAGAAACTATCAGAAGAACTGGCTACCCTGGATTTCGAGAAGGCTGAGGTTTGCAATGACTTCTTTGCCTCAGTCTCCACCAGCAAGTGCTCTGACCACGCTGCCCAAGTCTTGGAAGGCAGACACAGGGACTGTGAGAATGAAGACCTTAGGCCCACTGTAGGAGAGGATCAGGTTCAAGATCATCTTAAGAACCTGAACGTGCGCAAGCCCATGGAACCTGATGAAATCAGGACAGAGCCTTGGGCGACATGATCTAGGGTGAGGTGTCCCTGCCCATGGCAGGGGGGGGGAACTAGATGATCTTCAGGTCCTTTCCGTAACTATTCTATGATTCAATGATTTTATGATTTGTACTGGACTACACATAAGAAACTTCTAGACTCTGTCTTATACAAGACATGATAGCAGAGTGCTCTGGGGCACCAGAAGGATGTGTTATTTACAACTTAATACAATAGACCTTGAACTGACTTTAGTTTTGGGGTTTGGGGGGGGTTTGGTTTTCTTTTTTTTTTAAGGTTCTTTCAGTGAAATGCAAAGCTTTCACTATAGGAACAGGCAGGCAGTAATCTCAACTGCCTGCTCAGGTCCTCTGCAATCTGAATTTCAAGAGCTGAAAGATGAGCTCAAAAAGCAACATACCTTGTCTGGACCATTTATCTCATTTCCATCTTCTGCCCTTGCATTAAGATCTGGGGCAGAATGCAGGAGGTACTGGGTTACCTGGACCCCTTCCTCCCCAGGAATCGATGCAGCCATGTGGAGAGGAGTTAACCCCCCTAACTGAAAACACAAACATAGCATTAAGACTCCTGTTTACCAGAAGCAGCACTTAAGTAGTGATAACTATTATTTTAAGAATAATCCAAGCTCACTCTTCCCATACGCTGTGCCTCATGAATGGAATGGTTGCCCAGGGAAGTTGTGAATGCTCCATCCCTGGCAGCACTCAAGACCAGGTTGAACGAGGCCTTGGGTGATATGGGTTTAGTGTGAGGTGCCCCTGCCCATGGCAGGGGGGTTGGAACTGGATGATCTTAAGGTCCTTTCCAACCCTAACTATTCTATGATTCTATGATTCAATGTTCCTGTTCATCTTTACAGCAGTTCACTAGGGTAAACCATCACAGAACAGTCAAGGACTGAGTGGAAAACCACTTGTTTCTTAACGGAAGTTCCTTCATGTCCCAGTGCCTTTTCTGATTATTGATGAATTTGTATTTTGCAGCACTGAAAAACTATTTATATATACTATTTGCACAGTAAGTCTCCAGCCACCACTGTAGGTCTGGAATCAGAACTGAATACTGGGAGTGACAACTGGATCTCAGTGTTGGGGAGCGAGGTGGCATAAAAATACCCCACTGGAGAGGAAGGAAGCAAATATTATTATGCAGCAGTCACTAAGAAACTGGGACATTTGAGGCCTGAATGGGCATAACAGAAGTATATACAAAACCTTCCCCAAGAACCAAATAATTCACCTCATGCAGGTATAACTCCCAGCTGTGCGACATCTGTCTGGTCTAACAACAGGCAAATAGTAGAAAAAATTATTCTGCCATTTAGCCCTTGCTGTCCTTGCCCTTTTGGTGTGCATACCCTCACCAGATGCCTCTGCAGCAAAAGCCTACTTTGCCCCCTCCCTGAGCACATGGCTCATCCAACCAGTTGTGCCAGAGCAACCAGTCCCACCTATGTCTCCACTGCTCTTTACCTAGGAAAATTAATATTAGGAAAGAAAAGGGGCTTAAGTACTCCTTAGGATTCATTTGAGCAGGGAGGGTGCAGGGCAGCTTCTGCCTACCCTATAAATCACCTCTGCCTTTTTTCCCTTCTCTCATGAACGGCTACAAGCCTTTCACAGGTCAGAAGAGCTGTTACTGGAGATTATAAAATAAGTGAAAAATGGGATGCAGCAGGAAATATCTCGTTGAAACAGAGGCTGATAGAGAGGTTGGTAGGAAAGAAACCACTAATTGAAATCCTTTCTGGGTGGGCTGTCCCAGTGTATCACCATAAAGAGAGTTAAGCAAGGCTCCCCCACACCAGCTCCTAGAGGAAACCAAGCAAATGCCAAACCAAAGGTTCAGCAAGTGCATGCAGCTGGTGTGCAATAACTGATAGAGATCTGTCCTAACTGAAATCAGGAAACCACTGTGCCCCAAAATCAGTGTGTAGAAATGTGGGGAAGAAGCCCCTAAACGCAAGTTCAAAGTGAGTGCTCTGTGTTCATAAATCACTGCACTGCCTGGCTGCCCAGTACTGAGACATGCTACAGCCATCACCAACTATGGGAAAGACTGGTTTTCCTCTGCCCAGCAGGAAGGGTCTGTGAGCACCAGTGAAACCCGCAGCCTGACCTCCTTACAGCCAGGAGTTTCCACTGAAGCTGCAGAGAGTGAAACCTTGTTTTAGCAACACAGCATGTGAAACACAAGGGTGAGTGTGCTTCCCCACATTTCCCCCACTTGGCAAGGACAACTATCTTTAGAAAACCTACTAGTTACCTGTGCCTTTTTGAAGCCTCAGTAACTCATTTGAACTAGTTTTGTAGTAAGGATGAGGGAAATGTGCAGCAGGGCTGTTAGCACTTAGGAGCTCAGGCACTCAGAGGTGCCATATGTTCACAAAACCTAGAATCAGGAAAGGGAAACCAAGAAACATATTTTGAAAAAACTGCTGCCTTAGCTTGGGCATATGTCCCCACCACAGATACTAAGAGTGGTTATGGACTGAAGTCTGCTTTGAAAATACAAATGTTCATCAAAAAAATCCCTGAAAACTCAGTTATTCACACATAGTGAAGAGTTATAAATAGCACAGCCGACAAAAGGTAAAGCTAGAATATCTTTTCTTGTTGCTCTGGGTGATAACCCATCCTTGCAGGTTGACATTACTCCTTTCTCAGCAAGGCAAGTCTCCAAACCATGTGGAAGCTCCCCTTCAGCACCTGCAATAGTGCCAACTCTCGAGCAAGCTCTTACTTCACACCGGTTAAAGTCAGATCCGTCAGAGTTTACCTCCCAGCTCCCCCGTGCCAACGGTCTGCCCTTCTTGTAGCTTTAGGAGTTGTATAGCAACGTCCTTAAGTCAGCACAGAGCAGAGGAATGCAATGACTGGGCTTGCTTGTTGGTTTAGGTACTTCCAGCTTTTGCAGCTTTCCCCATCCTCCCCGCGCAGCTCTAACCTCCTGGTGGCAGCAAAGCCCCAGGACACCACTAGGAGCTAGGATTTCACAGAGAATTTTGCATTAATAATTTCTAAATCTTCTGTAGCACACATTATGATGCTCCCATGTGAACTTTTTGAAGCTCTTCTGTCATCTTGCCTTCTGCTTTGCCAATCTTAATTTCTTGGGGATTTGCAGATCAGTTCAATTCTGGGGAATTTGCTCTTGCATTTATGTCTCTAGAGGTGAAGTGACAGGTCACAGTGTTCAGAGGTGCTCCCCATAAACCAGTGTGCTGAAAATCCTTGTTTTCTCATCCACAAAGTGATCCTGGACTTTCAAGACTCACAGGGGAAATTTCCCAGGGCTCGAGGGAGAATCTACAGATGGTGTAAGTGATCAGCCCTCTGCAATCTTCACTGGGTCATGGGATGAGGAAAAACAAATAAGGACATATTGATCACTGGGCCAATTTCAAAATCTGCCTTCAGGGGCCTGACCTACTTTGGACTAAGCTTGTTTACTGGCAGTTTCTCCCCGTGCTCCCTGCATCCACAAGGACACTGCTGCTTTCCTCAAATGGAAGCAGGGTGATATCTCCAGGTATCCCCCAGGCTGGATGGAGCCACAGCTGATAATACCTAACTGGATGCATCAGGATGAGCAGATATATGACATTTGCCTACACAACATGCTTCTCAGCCCAACCCAGACCTAGCCATCCAGCTAAGTGAGCATCAGAAAGAGCAGAGCAAAGCCATTCTTACTACTGGTTTTGGCAGGAAAGATCTAGCAATTATGACAATGCAGTAATCCATAAGGCCATTGCTTTTTTGAGTGATAGATCAAGTGAAACAGCTGAGGACAGCAGCTTTTGCCTCCATAGAGTTAAAACAAGGTACTGCAGCCTTTTTCAGGCACAGAGCACAGGATATGAGGCACTGGGCAGAAGGCTTCTCATGCTAGGTGCTGGCTCTTCTTCCTCTCCACCTGCTCCATAGGGCAGACATGAGTCCATGTCTCTGAACTAGCTTTCAACAATAAGGAGGATGAAAATGTTAATTCTGGCCTCTTCTAAAATTCATATACTTTACAGGCTCTGTGTCTGAGGGTAACATGGGGGTCAAACTGAGGCAGTCTGGACCTAACACAAGTGAGCAGAGCACAAGGCATATAACAAAGCAAAACCAAAATCCTCATCACTATTACAGTGAACAGGGACTGGAGAAAAAGAAAAACAGGAGGGAAAAGAAAAAATCGGGGAGGTTGTGCCCACCTAACCTTGCCTGGATACACAGTGTTTTCACTCTGTATCAGTCATGGATCATGTATAAATTGAAACCTCTGCTTGAAGGACTGCAAAGTGATGCTAGGATGCTAGACAGCATGAGCTAAGGCTGTGAAAATTCTTTCTGCCAGTGGCCTCAGCTGACCTTGTGCTTTTTGGCTCTCAGTGCCTTGGTTTCCCCATCTACACACTAAGCTCTTTGTAAAGAGTCATTTGTAGCAGGCAGGATGAGGGGAACTGCCTGCACTTAGCTAAACTTATGATTTTGCTGGTTCATTTCCTTTAGAAATAAAACATGGGAGGGAAAAGCATCCAAAATCTGCAGAGGACAGAGGCGAGGCAGGCTGGAGCAGCAGGACAAGAACTTTCCCATCAGACTTGTGAGAAGTGGCTTATTTGAGAAACACTTTGGGACCCAGCTCAAGTCCCAGACCTGAGAGCAGGCAGTGGGCAAGCGCAGAGTTGGAGCTTACACTGTTTTTTTTTGTTAGATATAAAAGGCTTAGGTGGATCAATGCTAACCACAGTGCCTGGAATGTGGATGAGGGGAGCTGTGCAGAGAGCAGAGCCTGCCATGGGACAGGCAGCCCAAATCTTCCTGTCACTGCTCAGCCTAATAGCAACTATTTGTGATGCCCAGGACACCTGCCCAGGTGAGTGAGGCACAAATCCTACTGCAATCCCACTGAGATAGCCTGCTTCAACTTCCCCCATAACACAAGGAGATTGGGTGAGGGTGGAGGGATGTGATTAGTTTCCTTCCGTGCTTTTCTTAATTCAGCTGTAAGTGGGAGGAGGGTAAGGGAGGGGGCTGACATCTCAGCAGCCACTTTACAAAACTGCTAGCTCCAACCAAAGATGTGGCATCCTCCTCAACTTACCAGTGTCATCTCCAGGAACAGGCTATCCCAGTTGAGGTTTTTCCATCCTGGTGAAGGGGTTTTTGTTCACGGCACCTTGGCCCAGTTACTAAAGGAAGCAGTGCAATACAGAGGATTGGTCAAGTGCTTGCTGGGTGCCAGGAACCCTGGCAGCTTGGGGATGCTGCACAAAGCTTTTTGTCTATATTCCTTAGGAAGGCAATAAGGGCGATTTCCAACTGACCTGCTGTCAGGAAATTTAGTAGAACTTTTACTGTCCACAGATCCGTCAGTGTCACTTACTCTGCTGTCCATACTCCCTCAGGGCACCTCTCAGGTTTTTTTTTAATTAAGCTACAGTGTATTTGTCATGATTATAATGTCATATATAACAGCCTCCTCTCCTACTGAACTCCCCTGCAGCCAGAGGTTCATTGTGTAGATCCTCTAATATGAGAGCTCTCAATGCCATCGGTTGATCCACACACCTCCAAACTCCCACCCTCATTTCTTTTGCTTGCACTGTTTCTCAACTCCAGAGGGTTCAGTTTCCTCTCCAAAACATTTCAGAGCCCTAATAATCTCCACAAAGACTGTCTTCATTTCCTCAGAGGTGAGAATAGTGGGACTTGGTGATGCTGACCAGCTTGCCATTCTCCAAGGATGCCCAGGAAACCCAGGTGCCTCTGGTCCAAAAGGAGAACCAGGTCTCCCAGGAACAAAAGGTGAGACCCCAAAAGCCACCAGTGAACACTCTGAGATGAAGTAGCTTTGTTACTTTGGGTAGGGGAAGCTTATAATGGAGCAGTGGCTGTCCTGGCACTGGCTTCTGCAACTGGAGAGTCAAGAGTGGAAACACTATGTCTAGAGATGCACTGGTACACATGGAGTCACCTTTTTTTCCCTCAGTCCTGTCACAAGTCTGAACTGGTCCTGGGGTGTGAAGTGCTATAACTCAACTCATTTGTTTCTTCTACGGTGAAAACATCTGTTTATTTTCTGAGCCTTTATAGAACTGGTGGTTAGGAGGGAAGCTGTGATGCTCCTGCGTGTTTACCAGGAACTGCTGGGGAGCTGTGCAGGTACCCCATACCCAAGGAAGCAAGGGAGATGGGAGTCCTTAGCGGTTTCATAGCCAAGTCATGGAGAAGGTGAATCACATTAACAGAGGGAAGAGATCCACAGCAGCAGAATCCATGGTCTGGCTCCAGGATGCACACGGGTTGTAAGAATTCCTACATGAACTGCAAATTAGGATTTGCAATGGCAGTACCAGTGTAGTGTAGCTTCAGCAGAAGAAAAGTAGTTAGGTTGCAGGATTGAATCTAATTAGATTGAATCTAATTAGCAAAACCCAGCTTCCTTGTTCCTGTGAAAGCCAAGGCCCAGCTGCCTGGGCTTCTGTATCCCCTCCCCTCTGGTCAGTTTGCTATGTGCATGTACAAACTGAGTCTTTCCTTGCAGGAGAAAGGGGAGCCCAGGGACTCCCTGGGAAAGCGGGACCACCTGGTGTAAAAGGTAATGTGCAACGTATTCAGGTCTAATCCATAAATCTACCCAAGTTCAGGACATACTGGGACACACAGTCTATAGAGATGAACTGTAGTGCTGGTCATAGTCCAAGAAAGAGCCCTGAAGTAGTGTTAAGTAAAGCAGAATTTGGGGGTATGGATCTTGCATGTGTGATTAGTAGAAAGAGTGTCTTTAAGTGGGGCCATATTACAGAGGAAGACATTACTCTTCTTATCAAAGTTCCCCACTGACACTGTCCACCCTAAAATCAGACCTCTCCTCATTCCCACCCTACCTGCCTCTACATGGCAAACCTGCCCAAAAGCCTCCCCCCTTTGAAGAGCTTTGCCATGCTTCCTCCAGGATGCCTGATGAAGAGACACAATGCCAAGTGTTTCCAGCAGACTCCAGGCCTGGTCTTGGTGTGCAATGCATTTGTCGGTTATTTGACCAGGAGGATGGGATCAAAGCTCTAGGAAACAGTTGGCGCAGGGTGAAGCAAGGATGGAATGGGGGTTCTTTGCAATAATATGAGCCCCTGAAAAGAGGACAATGTGTGCTGAGAAATCAGCTTCCACTACATCCAGGCTGTACTTGAGGTCTTCAGCAGGATCTGTATGCTGCAGACATTGGAAAATTGTCTCTTCTAGAGAAACCAGTTCCCGGAAGAAGGTGGCACCCAGGAACTGAGCACAGATGCACTGACTAGCTGGGAAAACAGCCCTTTTTGCATGCCGAATATGTAGCTGGCCAAAAAGCACTAAATATTTCCTGGCCAAAAGCACTAAAGACTTCAGCTGAAACTCCAGCAGGAGATGAATGAACCCACTGGAAAAGCAGCTATTGCCCCAGATTTCACAGGTGCCTGACTGAAAATGGGAAGTTCCCACAAAAAGTCACTGAGATGGAGTTTAGAATCCCTGATACACTCCAGGAGATGGAGAAGCATTTCCCTCTCCCCTCTGTCCTGCTCCTCCTGAGCTCTTCTGAGAGATGCTGCTGATCAAGAGAGCAGACAGGCTGGGTGGCAGCACCAGCTGAGACACAGGAGAGCACCATGGCTTCGCACCACTTGAGAGCACATTTGGGACATACATAGGGGGTGGAGCAGATACTTGGGGAGTCACAGTAATCCACTTGCTTTGAATCGTCTGTGATGAACATTTTCATCCTGTGTCTTGCAGGTTCAGCTGGAGAGCCTGGCTTCCCAGGTAAATTATGCTGTGCTGAATTTATTATGTGAGCTGGTTTAGTTAAAATAGTACTCTGTGATGTTCAGGAACAACACACTAGGTGGAGAAACTACAGAGAAAAAAAGCCCCCCACATGGGGGGCTCTTTGGTGGTAGTTGTGCCTCACTGTAGGCTCAGCCGTGGACCAGATGGTGTAAGCAGCAACTCTCCCAAACCAGCTCTTCATCAACAGGGGCTGCCCTCAGTTCCCCATGCTGCTGAACAGCACCATCACCTGCAGAAACCACAGGGCTTCCTATACCCCAGCCTGCAGGAACAGCCAGATTTGCACAGACCTCTGACCTTCCTGTGCTATGGCAAAAGGCAGAGGCTCAGAGGAAACTCAGTCGCTGTCAGTGCCAGGGGAACAGGGGAACATGTCTTTCTACCAGCACTAGCAAAAGGGTAGAGTGGAAACAAAGGTTTTCCTAATGCCACCATCCCACATGCAAGGGTCACTGGCACCCGTCACGGAGCACTGGCTGCACTGAGGCTGCCCTACAAGTCTGGCTTGTAATAGCTGTGGACCAAACACTGCTGATCTGGTGGCCCGTTCAGCACAGCTGTCTCAGCTGCTCCCAAGCCATTGACTTTGCCATCAGCAAACATTCCCATCTTGGGGCTTTGGCCCTGCCTTCCCACACCCATCCGCTCATGTTGTGTTTCCTCCTTCCACACCCATCCGCTCATGTTGCAGCCCAATGGGACTCACTGGCATGACGTGTTGATACCCAAATCCATGGGCTGGCCAGCATCAGGCAGAGCAAGCAGGTCCAACAGAGGCACATCTTGTGTCAGTCTTGCCATTTGGACCTCCCAGTCCCAGATCAGATGTCAGGGGAAAATATATCATGCTGGGTCCAACAGTCCAGGAGACAAGGCTGCTGCTCCTTGTGGATCTATAATGTGTCCCAGCCTCCTGGTAGCCACCCTGTGTGCCTGTTGCTCCCAGTGACTGAGGGTACTGGGTATCACTGCTGTAATAACAGGACTCATGACTTAGGTTCCCACCTGACATTGTACCTCTGTGCTCTCCTGGGTCTGTGCAAATGGGCTGGTGGGTCTCCTCTGGTGGGCACAGAAGCAGCTGGGGCAGAACTTTTATTGAGTTACTCATCCTGCCTGGTTTCTCTGTGCCTCTGTTGTGTGCACAGATGAGCTAAACCCTTCTCATAACATCACAGCTCTCTACCAGTGCAGCAGGATTTGTTTTGAAAAGCAAATGATGTCACATGCTGGTGGAGGGGAGAGCAGGGTGTGGAAGGTGAAGAGCAGCTGATTGGTGTTGTGTGTCCAACAGGAATGAAAGGAGAACCTGGATTTCCAGAAACCTGGGGTAAGTTTCGTTCTAAGGTACTTCATTACACAGAGCAGATAGTGGTGGAATCCCTGAACCAGTCATGATAGTGCAGTAATAGTGACACTGAAGGACAGAGTAAGGAAATATCACTGTTAAGCCATTTGCTTCTGACAGCCATATGCAGCTTCTGTGTGTCTACTCTAATCCAGCCAGGGCAGAAAAGTCCTGTCCTCTGAGCACTACCTGAGTCACCTGCCTTCTATGCGTCTTAGACATCTGTCAGGTTTTGAGAGCCTCTGTGTCCTGGTTTCCAAGATGAAACCACTAGAAACAGCTCTACAGACATGCTCTCACTTCAAAGGTAGTTATATCACTATGCTTGGAGTGGAAGGTACAGCAGATGCAACGTTCACATGTGTGATAGTGCTCAGGTTAACTTAACCATTGGGAAAAGAAAGAAAGAAAACAAACAAGCTTCAGTTGACCCATCTGGCTCCATGAGCTAAAGCCAAAGCAGAACTACAACACACTCTGGCTACGCTTGGATGCCATACGGCCACAGTCATGTGCAGAGACACACTCGGGCACATCAGAGCTGTTGTAACACCAGATGCCAGTGAACTGGCCCCTTGCTGCCCCAGACTCTCCTCTGTCTTTTTATATTTACTGGGCATGTAAAAATATTTCAGTAATAAGGAACAGGACAAGTCCAGCACCATCCCTCCCTTAGGAAGGACACCCATGCCCACAAGACAGCCTGGTACAGCTCTGCATTCACTCGTCAAACAGCACACTCAGACCCCCACTCCACCAGCACCACTGTCTCAGGTCATCTCCAAAGGCTTTTCCCTGTGAAAGCCACAGAGGCAACTGGAAGCTGGGATGTTCAAAAAGGACCATTCCAGTCAATCCTTTCAGAGCTGTGAATCTGAGTTTCTATAATCAGGTGTGTTTTTTGGGAGGAAGAATAAATTTATACATAATATATACTAATATGGTCAAAAGTGACACCTGTCCAACCTTCAGAAGTGACATCTGTCCAACCTGAACACTGTTTTCTCTGTTTCAGGTAGGTGGTTTTCTGTGTCACTCCTCCTTTGCTGCTAACTACCCAAACACTCCCTGTACACCCCCCCTACACACACATTCCTGAGCCTGGGCAAATTCTTGGAACATGAGTTTGTCATCCTGCTCAGAGCAGCTCCATCACTCACACCTCCAAAAGAGTCGCTGCAGGTGAGGGGAGCCTGAGCACCTTAGGCCATCTCTTAGAATGTGCCCATCTCTGCTATGACATACAGATTACGGACTCAGAAGCTGCAACGGGGTTTGGCTCCCAGTACCCATGTGCCAGAGTCCTGCAGTGCAAAGAGCCAGCTGGGACGCTGAAGGGCTCAAAGCCTCAGGCTTAGGGCATGAGGTTGATGTGCTCCCTGGATGCATTGAGCACATTGTAATTCTTTCCACTTGATCTCTTTCCCTGATTTGAACAGAAGCCAGGAACTGCCAAGAGCTGTTGGGTAGAGGCAAGATCCTGAGTGGCTGGTACACCATCTATCCCCAAGGCTGCAATGCCACCACCGTCTTCTGCGACATGGACACCGATGGCGGAGGGTGGATTGTGAGTAGGATGAGGAGAGGGCGGTTTCTAAGTTCCTACAGAGGTTTTTATTAAGGCTGCAAAGGATGGCACAGAAATAGAAACAAAAAGGGAGGAAAACACACACTGAGGGGACAGCCAAGGCTCATGTCAGTAAGCCTGGGTGAATCCCTGTATATGTAGGGGGATTCTCCTGGGAGAGATCTCTGGGAACAGGCTGGGTACAACAGACCCATGCCCTGCTTAAATCAGAAAATCATTTCCTCCTCATTTCAAAGGGCAGACGGAGGAGGTCTGTGAATGACAGATTCCTCTGGAGTTTGGTCCCCAGAGACCTGCAAGAGTGTCCTGACACAGGTGGAGCATTTGCTGGGCCATCTGGGTGCTAAGGATGCTTTTGGGTGTGGGTGGCAGGCCTGTGGTTCTCCTTTCCTGCAGGTTTTCCAGAGGCGGTGGGATGGGTCAGTGAACTTCTTGCGAGACTGGGATTCATACAAACGAGGCTTTGGCAACCAGCTGACTGAGTTCTGGCTGGGGAATGACAACATCCACTTCCTCACCTCACTGGGTAAGGTCTATCTCTGTCCTGGACTGGGGCTCTCACAGTCCAACTCCCTGTAGCACACTCAGTCATTAAAGGACTCTGAACTTCCTGCATCTATCTGAGGTCTCAACAGTTAATCCTAAACAGCATACAGGCCCTTGCAGCCCATAGCACACAGGAAATTGCATTCTAAAAAAAAAAGCAAAACTAGAAGCCAAGGAAGAGAATGAGCTGGTTACATGACCTATCCCAGAGATAGGCCAAAACATCTTCTCATCTTCCTACTAGGACTGGTTGTGATGGCAGTCATCTTGTTCACACACAGCCTTGGAGTCACAGCTGTGTACAAGAGTTCTGGGTGTGTAGCTCTCATTGCCCATGACTACTCAACATCAGAGCAGAAAAGGTGCTTCATAAGAAAGCTATCAATGCTTCTGTAGGAATTTCAAATAAATCATGATCTTGAGAGACAGTAGTAGAAGCTCCAATTAAGTTCATAGAATCATAGAATCAGCTGGGTTGGAAAAGCCCTTTAAGCTCATCCAGTCCAACCACTCCCCAGCACTGCCAAGGCCACCACTAACCCACGTCACTGAGGGCCTTGTCTCCATGGTGTGTGAACACTTCCAAGGGCAGTGACTCCACCACTGCCCTGGGCAGCCTGTTCCAATGCCTGAGCACCCTTTCAAGGAAGAAGTTTTCCCTAATATCCACTCTAAACCTCCCCTGGCACAGCTTGAGGCCGTTTCCTCTTGTCCTATCACTTTTTACTAGGAGCAGAGACCAGCCACCTCCTGGCTCCATCCTCCTGTCAGGTACTTGTAGAGAGATACAACTTTCTTGTTAGCTCAGAGCTTCTTAAACCCTTCACCCTGAAATCCAGGTGTGTGGTCACCAATCAGCCCTGCACCACTGCTGTCCATCTTCTCTTCTAGGACTCTCTGAACTCCGCATTGACCTGAGAGACTTTGAAAACAACTACTATTTTGCCAAATACTCTTCATTCAGAGTCTTAGGAGAGTCTGAGAAATATAAACTGGTTCTAGGAGACTTCCTTGGTGGAAATGCTGGTAAGTCAGCAGCAGCACACTGGGAAATGCTGTTTTCTAGACCATTTCAGAGGTGTTCAGCATTTATGGTGGAGAGCTGTATTATATAAACTCCTTGTACCATATACATTTTGGGTCAGTCTTTAAAACTGGCCATGGTACCTCAGGTGCTGAGTGACCTTTGTGTGAGGGAAGGACAGGGACCCCCCTCACCCACAGGAGTGTGACCTACAAGCCCAGCCACATGGTTTAGCAGCAAATGTGGAGCCTGATCCTGAGCAGCACCTCATCCAACGTAACCGTCCCAACAGCTCTGCAACAGCTGGGCCAAGTTCTCCTTACAGTTATATTAAAAGGAAATATTTATACACAAGGTTTGCATTTCCAGGGCTGGAGTGCTGTTAGCATCCCAGTGCATCAGCACTGCATCCTCTTAATGCCTGATGTTCTGCTTTGCTTTAAAAAACAAACAAATCCTTGCCAAAATTCAATACCCCTCATTCAGAAATGAGTGAAACCAACACAGGAGATAGCAATGTTCTGGGTTTATATGGCTTTGTACACTGCAACTCTGTCTGATAGTCCAGACCTCAGGATGTCTGCAGAGAATCTGAGCAACAGAAGTGAGCTGAGTGCAAGAGAAGTGATTCCTGTGTAACAGTGAGGAGAACCTGGTCCATTTGATTCAGAAGCATAGATACGTTCTCTGTGCTTTAGCAGTCCTGGAAGAGCTCAGGATGGTCTGTTTCTCCAGGACCAAGAAGGAAACCTGGGCAACCAAGAGAACAGCAGGATTTATAAAATCTGCCTCGCATCCAGCAAGGCCCACTGATGCCCTGCAGTGGTGCTCAGACATGTCAGGTTTTGTACTCTCTATTGAAGTAACTGTGAATGTGTACTCTCTGCAGGAGACTCCTTATCATACCACAAGGACATGCCATTTTCAACCACAGATGAGGACAATGACATGAGCTCCTTTAACTGTGCGATGGAATACAAGGGAGCATGGTGGTACAATGACTGCCATTACTCTAACCTGAATGGGATGTACTGGTTGGGTGTTCACGGGAGCTATGCTGATGGCATTAACTGGAAGACAGGCAAAGAATACCATTATTCCCATAAGCGAACAGAAATGAAATTCAGGCCAGTTTAACATGGCAAGAGAATGTCTGACTACCACCATCAGGTGCCATTTAACAGCCTAGAGTAGGCACAAAACAATGTTGAGGGCAAAACTGGACCAGGATGGATATTACAGGTTGTGCCTTCAGGTTAGAGCAGACTTTTAGAGACCACAAAAGACTGGTGCTGATTTGAACTCCTGTAAGCACAAAACTCTCACCCTGGACTATCCCCAGCAGCCCCACAAATGCTGACTGAGCCTGAGCATCTTTTTCTGAAAAGTGCATTGCCTTGATTTAAAGTGAAGGTGAGGCTACAGCGTCTCAGTAAAGCTTTCAGATATTGTCACTCTAAACGGTGATTACTGGCAATTTTCGGTCTTTCCACATACATGAAGCTTCCAGTGCTCTTGCAGCCTGTTTTTCTGTTGGACCCAAGAGCCATATGAAAGGCACTGAATACCCAACAGCCCCCTGCTCTCTCCCTGCTGGCTGTGACAGAGCCACGATGTAAACCAGCGTGGAAAGAACTGAGCTTCCAGCACAGGGCTGTCAGCACTGCCACCTGCCTCCTTCTCTCCCTACTGCCTCACAAAATCCATGCTTCAGGACCTCAGCTTCTGGAACCACAGGAGTGTTGCCCAGCACTTCCCACCATGACACAACTTCTCCAGGGCACATTTCTAGATCTCATTCTTTAGCCACTGTGGACCAAGAACTGGATACAGAACAGTCTGTCCAGCAGTATTTTTGGTACCAGGACACTACAGTAGTCCCAAGTCAAGCCTTGCACAAGTGAACATAATGTAAATTGCCAGGAGGTGCCAGTATCTTCCATTTCACCTTCTTTCCAGCGGCATTTGAAGATGGGCTATCTGCTGGCAGATGGAGGCAGTTCATAGTTACTGTGATGTTGTATTTGCCTATTAGCAGAACTGGTTAAAGGGGCTCTTCTTCCTGGACTCCTCCTCCATAGGGGAGGAGAGCTTGGTGCTATCTCCTTACTACAGGGACAGACCAGAGCCAGTGGAAGCAGAGTATTTATTTGTGTATGTTCCTAATGGACCCAGGTTTGTCACACAGTTATTGCATATGTGTGTAGCAATGGCAGCTACAGCCCTACAATACTGAATCCAAACTTTGTGGCTGAGAAAAGCAAAGAGGTCACTAATCCAGCACACCAGAGCCAGTCAACGATGTGCTAAGAAATAAATCTGAGGCCTATTCACTAGGCCCTGTCCCTGCTTACTTCTCTAAGAGCTGTGTTTTGTTTTTCTCTTACTCTCAGTCAGTTTGATGCGTCCTCAGCAGGAGCAGCAGCAAGGTCTCAAGCATCCAGCTGTGCCTCACCCAATCAGCCACTGATGTTGTCTCAGAGATGCCCAAGGTGCCAGTTCTGCAGAACCACAGACTCCTCTGCAGAGATGGAAGAGCTGGTGCTGACAGTCAGTTTTAACTTAGCTAAAAGTGCTGAATACCCTTTCTCTGCTCCCCTCTATCTTCTCCTCCTACTACACAGAAACCTTCAACATTTAAATTTCATCTGTGAAGGACACCGATGTTACAGGGATTAAGAAGACACCCAGATCAGTTCACACAAACCCATCTAGTTGATATTCCCAGACCGCCATCAAACTCCATGGAGGAAATATTCAGGTATGACAAACCATCACCAGTGCTAGGTGCTTGGCTGCAGAGTGAAATTCTCATGCATCCCCTAAGCTGGTGCAGTAAACCATGGGTTGGCAAACCACTTCAAGGCAGGAAAATGCTTCCTATGCTGATATAGGCATGTGGGGGAGAGGGTCCTTGGGCTTGATGGTCCATTTCAGGCACCATGCCTGCAGCAGTCAGAGAAGGTTTGTGACTCCAGCCAGAAAGAATTGAACCTCTAAGGTCAGGATGCAGTTCCCTAGATACATACACATACCACCAGCCTGGCACTCTCACCTTCCCCCCATCAGCTTTCACATCTGACCAGTGGGGGAAGAGGCAGGGAACAGACCTGAGATGTCCTAAATAATATGCTCCCCAAACTGTCAGGATACCATCCAGTCCCTCTTGCTTTTCCTTTTGCCAAGGGTCCCCAGAAGAAAACCAAGAATAGTCCCAGTCAATCTGTGACTGCTCCCAGCCACTGCTCATCTCAAGGCTTTTTTTTCTCTGTCCTGGAAAGCTCTTTCTGTGTTTGAAATTTTGTATTTGGAAATCCTCTTCTGCTCATCAGCGGACACAGAAAGGGACAACTCTGAAACCTAGGAATTGCAACGTCCCTGGAGCTTCTCCAGACATTTCCCTTGCTGCAAATAATGACAAGTGAGGCTGCAGGAGTCACCAGCAGAGCAGGTGAGCCAGGCTATGAGGTGTGGGGAGAGGACATGGTTTCTGCAATATCAGGGAGCCACACACATGATAAGAGGTTGGCAGCATCTCTGATGGCTTGTTGATGCACAGCCATCTGAAAGCAAAAGTGGGGCCAAACTAGTCCTCAAGTCCCACCAAGTCCAGTCTCCTGGCCAGATAGAGGCTGCCTCCAGCAATGCACTCCAGCATTGTCTGGGACATGGGAAGACTCAGGAGTCTGAACCACCCACGTGATTGCTGGCAGCCTCCAAGGGCTGCAATACAGTTCTTTCCAAGGAGGAACACAGCACTTTGGCGATGTGCAAGTGCCCAGAGGTTTCGCAGCTGTAAATCTGAAATCTGACTGACTCCAAGAAACTGGACTTTGGAATGAAAGGTCTTCCTCTGAGACAAGGAGGCACAAAATTAAATACAAACCTTTGTAAATAAGTAGAATTAGTTCGAAGCAATGTTAAGTTTGATGTCTTTGTAACAGTAGTAATGGAAAATAACTGAGGTACATGTTTCACAGAAGAAAAAAAAACAGAGTGCAGTTAGAGAACATAATGAGAATCCTTGTATAAGATAAACCCTTGTAGTTGGCATAGTTTTAGGTCCTTATGACCTTAGTACAAAATAAGTGTAAGAAAATAGGATAGAAAAACAGGGCGCGAAGATAAAGAGTATCTGAAACTAGTAGATGTCCAGGATGGGCTGTAGGTAAACTAACTGATAAGTAGAAGGACAGGATGATTGCTATGTCTGCAGTGTTAAAGAACCAATTAAGCTGGTGTATGCATTATCTACTGCATGTGCTTCAAAGGCTGCTGGAAGTGATGAAGATTGTTGGAAGAAGTAAACGACCCTCAGAGACCAGCACCACATTTTTGTACGCATGTGGGGAAACTTTCTGGAAGAATGATGTAATCCATACGCAGCCTCATGAATATGCATGTATGTACATAATGAATATGTATGCTTAGTGACTATAGAAGGACAGCTTGTTTAGCAATTCGGGAAGACACGCTAGGGGAACTATCCCCCGTGTCTCCCGGCGCCACAATAAAGAATACCGGCTTGTCAGCTTGAAACCTTTGTTGGCGAGTTCTGGGTGATTTCTCCAAATAACTTCCTACCTAACACTGATGAGAGTTGCTCAGAGAACTGAGTTTCAGCACTGCTATAGGATTTGGGTTTGGAGGCTGCAGACCTGGTGGTCCTGGCATTGTGAATAACTTCCTCAGATTTTCTGAGGTGTCCTTGTTGAGAGCATTGCATCTGAAGAGTAACTAATGGCCACGTGTGAGACAGCATGAAGCAAGCTGCAGCCGGGGACAGGAAATCGCTTCACTGCGTTTGGTCCTTTTGGCTTACAGGCTGCTGGGGTGGAAAAGATGAATCCTACATCCTTTGCACTATGTTTGTGCTTCTGCTGTTACCTTGTGCCCACCCAACTGAAGTGAAGGGGTGACTTAAGACACCAGCTGACCCTGCCACAAACCAAGATACTCAGAATACCACTCTGTCATGGGTAATACTCTTCTGTAAGTTACTTTAATTAAAGGTTTATTATGCCAGGCTGATAGAGCACAAAGCTGTTCATTTAGTTGTGTTTGGTGCCTCTGCTTGGAAACATGACATTTCGGCAGCACCACTCAGCAGACCCAGGATGATTAAAACACAGCAGCCAGGGCTGATGTAGAAAAGACCCACTAGAATTTATTCCCAAATAGCATTTATAAAAGCAAACAAACAACAGAGAATGTAGGAACTCATGGCCCATGGGGAACAGCATGGCCAGGTCCACGCCATCAGCCACCTGCACAGCAAGTGGACAACAGAAGGAAGAGGCAAAGGCTCCTGGTCTGGTCCAGCAAAGGGGAGCCTGCTGCACTATCCTGGAACCTCCACCGACCATCACAGTTACTTCAGTTCAGTGCCAGGACTCCCAAGATATGAAATTCAACCACTGACCTGGTCTTTGCATCAGACTGGCATGGGGAAGTCAGGCCCTGCACTCCCAGCACAGGGGCTTGTACCTGGAGGGCATCTCAGCAGGTTTCCCATGCTCACATCTCACCAGTGAAGAGAAACTCTTAGCCCATAGGATGAACTAGGCAAGTTCCCAGACCAGTTCTGTTCTTTGCAGGCTCCCCAGTTGGTTCTGCTAGTCCACATGGTGACTGCAGAAAGTCTCAGTGCCACCTGCTCCTGCAGCAGGTACTAGAGGTCCTTCTAGCAAGGACATGATATCCTTCAGTCACCTATGATCCAGAGTATGTCCCCGTCATGAGAGTGGATGGGGCACATGGCAAATCCAGAAGAAACACAATCCTTACAGCTCAGACTGTGCTGGCTAATGCTGTGTGTGCTCTGTGCAGAAATTATCCGCACACACCCCTGCATCTGTTTAATCCTTTAGCAAGCTTCTTACCCCCAAGCAGATAAACAAAACCAAAACATCTTCCTTCCTACCACAGCATCACTGAAGTACACACAACTCCACATACCTCTTCTGCTGTGTCCCAGTCCCACAGTTGTCATTCTGCAGGACCAGAGTCAGACATACGGCTGGAGGAAGGATGAACCCAGTCTCTGGTAGGGCACCACCAGCACCAAGCCTTGCTGGTCCTGGGAATGGGGTGGCCAGCAGAGGAGCAGCCTTGCAGGGAGACAAGACACCTCCACCCCATAAGAGGCCATATGAGGGATTGGTATGTTGAGTATGTATGATCTTCCTTTAGTCTACTCTTTTGTAGAGGAAGGCAGAGGAAGAATAGGCTGCAGCTTGACTGACCAGACAGTGGGGAAGGCTGAGGAAAGGCTTTGTGAAAGCAATGCATCTAGCCAGGGACTGAGCCAAGGTGGACAAGCTGTCCTTCATCCATAGTGGCCTTTGGAAAAGCCTTTGTATCCTTAATGCTTTGGTTGTTAGGACATACTGTTAAGACTACTCAGTCTCAAGCCTATCCCTATATGAAAAAAGTGCCCAGGGGAGCCTGTGAAGCTTTGGAAGGTTGCAGTTAGCTCCTCAGGTCTATCTCCTGGCAGCCAAATATACATTCTGTGACTCTCGTCCAACACATTGCAGTGATGCTGGTGGTCACTACCTCTCACTGAAGACACACATACATATCAGTGCAGTCTGCACTGATGCTGCAGTCCATTTCATTCCACTGATGTGAAGTCACCAAACTGGTGTGATTCAGAGTGGCTCTCTCCTCCAGGTTGAAAAGCATCTGTTATTTTCAGTCTTCTACTTCTCAAGGCTTTGCTTCCCTGACACTGACAGTATCCAGCTGAGATGAAGGTATCTGCTGGGCAGTTTAGTGCTGAGCAGGAGGTTTCTTGTGCAAGTAAGTCAGTATCCCACAAAAGCACAATGGCACCTTTGGGGAATGAGGAGCTGCAGATGCCTCCAAGAGCCCCCTGGCTGATGTGGTGACCCTGGTGCCACTCAGTGTGTTTCCTGACAGCTTACAATTCCTTATGATCCCTGTTAAAAACGCACCATGCTCCTCCACCAAGTCTCTGTCCCAGCACACCACTGACACTCCCTTGTGCAGGCACCATGGCACAGAGATGTTAGATATACATGACACTAAATCGAGCTCCAAGAGCTTGAGATGAGGCCCCCAGGCATGGAAGGCCCCCATGCTGGAAGAAGGCCCAATTGGCTACATACTGTACAAGTACATTTTGGTAGACAGATGAATGATCCTTGCTCCAAGGGCTTACAGTCTACAAGAACAAAGCCACAGCTCCATCACTAGACAGACATTAGACCTGTTTACACCCACAAACATTTTGATCCTAGCAGAACATGTCTTTCAGACCAATGGCCCAGCAATCAGCTGACCTGGAGGCAGGAACTCGATTGCTCACCCCCTTTTCTTAATTTGCAACATCAGACCATTTCTAGCTGTTACTCTTTCCACCTCTGGTTGGGGTTCACAGCCCCAGCACCATCCTCTGGCCCATAGAAGAAAACATGGTATCAAAATGAAGTCCTTTCCTGGCTGCCTGAGCCCTGGTGCCTGTGAGGGTGTCCCACATTGCCAAGGAGGCAGAGAAATTAGTGAGATGCTGAGTGGTGCTGGATCCAGCTCTCCCTGATTTCACCTCACAAGCTGTTGGCAATTTGCTCTTTGCAATGGGACAAGAAGGAGGGAGGCAGAAGCCTCCATCCTTGAGCCCCAGTCAAGGGCAGCTGGGAGAAATCTAGGCTGCTGTGTCTGACAAAGCTTTTCTGAGAGGAATGTTAGTTGGTACCTTATTAAGGCACACCCTCCCCATTGCTTTGGCTGCCACAGGTTGGCACCCCATGAGTGGCCTTGTCTGACTCTCCAAAGCCTTGCCCAGAGCCTCCATGCCTAGGTGAGCCCTGACCCAGGCAGAGACCTTACAGAGCATACCTGTCCTGCAAAGCTGCTGGATGGGTGCTTTAAAGCTTCGAAATACAAGGTGACTCCAAGCCTAACTAAGCACCCCAAAGCCCCTCTACTTCTCGTGGCCAGACCCCAGCCCTCCAAGGCCTTGCAGATGAAGAAGGGGAAGGCCCTGGGTCCAGGGGCCACAGGGAAGCAGGAGAGGTTAATGTTTCTATCATGGATCGGAAAGCATCCTTAAGGGAATTCAGGGTCCTCCAGGATCATTTGGTTTTAACAAGCAAACAGACAAAGGCTGCTTTGTGTCCTAATTACACGTGTTAAAAAATTTAGCTAGGAAAAATATACCCTTGGTAAGTCCCTTCTCCATTTTTAACCCTGTTTTCCATCCAAAAAATTAGAGACCAAGTCTGTGATTAAATAAATTCCAGCACATCTCTTAGCTCTGCCCTTTCCCACCTTTCTTCTTCACTCCTGACCCCCCCAGGCAGTTAATTTACAGTTTGGGCAATTCTTTGCCAAGCTTCACAGGAGGCATGCAGCTCAGCCCAAAAGCAGATTGTCCCTCCTAGGTTCCAGGCTCTCCATGACATCCTCCAACTCATCCAGGATTTCGGAGAATGATGGTCTCTTAAATGCTTCCACCTGGAATGAGAAGAGAAAGCTAAAGAGGACACCCTGGAATGGAGGCAGCTGCTCTGCAGCAGCTCTGTTGGCTCCCCAAGGTTGGGCAATGGCATCCATCCATCCATCGTCAGCAGTGGTCTGGGTCACATGGCTGCTGATGAAGCTTTCTGTCACCATCACCTGGTGATCCAGGCCTGGGCTGCTGCAAAGAAGCAGGTGCAGAAAAGGTTCCATGGTATGATACAGCTCAAGCAGAGGCAGTGAGATGCTGAAAACCAGCCTGATGTAGAATCGTAGAATCACAGAACAGTCTGGGTTGGAAGGGACTTTAAAGATCATGAAATTCCAATCCCCTGTCATACCGTGACCTGGACAGGGTGTGGGAAATGCCCACCCAAACAGTGTAGGGGCAGGTGTTGTGCAAGGAAAGGCTGCAGGTAGGTATCAGAAGGGGATGTTAGATTATTCCAGAAGTTTTTTCACAAAGGTCAGGATTTGTCTTGTCTCCCTGATGCAGTTCATTCTCAGTGGGCTGTGTATTTTGGGTGTACCCAAAGTGAGGGACATGGCCAGGGACACCCCTATCCTGCACCTCAATCCATGCCCCCCAGGCTGCCCTTTATGCCTGACCCCATGAAGCCAGACTGGGGAGCTGCACCAGAAACTCTCCAAACCTGCACATCACAAAAGGGCTGAGAAGAACAGCCTCAAAGGCCATTTCTGGCAGAAGCCCATTATTATATCAACTTGCATTAGAAAGATGCCCCTCAGCGATACAATATCTGAAGACATGTATGTCTAAGCTAGTTCCTGATGTGAATCCCTCCTGTGATTCAGGGCAAGTTGTTCACACATCCTCCAGCCCCATGCAAGGATTTACTTCCATTTGCTGCCTTGAGTTCCAAGCAGTTAGGTGCATTACAGTCACCCAGCTCATCCACTCTCTGCCTGATTACTGTCTTTGTGATTCTCTTCCTCTCAGAGAAGATCTTGGATCCTCACTTTCTCTCTGCTTTATCTCCTGAGGCTTTGGACAGCATGGGGAGGCACCCCTCATCTTTCACCATTAACTTCTATGCTAAAGCAAGAAAGGTTGGAGGAATATGCCCTGATGATATCTGTAATGTCAGGGCTACTAATACCAAGGCAGTACTCTCCAGAGAGAATCAGCCAGGTGCCTCTGCCTGCAGACTGGCTTAGGGAGGGATTGAAAACCAGCAATATGCTTCCCACTCTATATTTGACATGCAAGGGAACAGGCAGGACCTTAGGATGTTCTGGGCTCTAATCCATAAACAATACACTTTTCCTACCAGCAAACTGCAGGGTGAATTAAAGCATTAAAGGAAGATCTCATCACTTCACAGCTTACAGCAGAGCCCTGTGTGCTTGTACCTAGAACAGCAGGTTGAAGCTCTCCACGACTCACAGGTTTAGTCTCTGCTACACAAGTGTGATACAAAGCCAACAAAACCAAAACAGGAAAAAAAAAAAAAAAAAAAGAAAAAGAAAAACAAACTAGCAAGAATCTCACCCAACAGCATCTAGCAGCAAGGTCCATCACCTGCTTGGGACATTCACTGATCATCCCCTGGAAGGCAGCAACATCCAAGCCGTAATCCTGTCAGGAAGGACAAAGAGTACATAGAAAAGACTATAATGTCCTTTAAAAACTCTTCATCCCTCTCAAAGTGTTAAAGTGTAAAATACTCGTGGTTTAAAGCTTTTAGAGTCTCCATCACAGCTAATTTACTGATGGCTATGCAAAGGTACCAGGACAACATCAGCTCTGCCAGGACTGCACAGATAGTAAACCATTAGCAGAGCTGGGAGACTGCAGCATCCTTTTGCTTGATTTGTGCTATCCCTGTCCAGGCAGTATGTGTCCTCCTGGAAAAGCTCAGACTAAGGCAACGAGAGCCACAAAAGGCAAAACCAGAAGAGGAACCAGCACCAGGTGCTGAGCAGTGGCTGCCAAGGACAGGAACTGCAAACAATCTGGTCTTCCAACAGCAAGCGAGAGTCGAAGGGGTCCAGCCAGCAGTCAGCTTTGCCCCTCCATACATCATTACGTATCATTACTATGATATATAATTCTCCTTCATCTCGTTAACACAGATAGAGCATTATTTCCTGTTCAGTCTCACAGAAACATATGCCGTGGTTTAAACCCTAGCCAGACAGCTTGTTCACTCACTCCCAGTGAATGGTGCCAGGCTGGAAGCAATCGAGGCCCCCCCTGCCCCGTGGGCTCTCCCCTTCCCCGTTCCTGAAGGGATGGGGAGGAGAATCGAAAGAGTGCAACTCCCACGGGTTGAGACAAGAACAGTCCAGCAACCAATGTACAACACAAATCACCACCGCTACCACCAACGACAACAATGATAAGAGAAAATAACAAGGGAAGAGAATACAATACCACCCGCTGAGAAACGAGTCCAACCCAGAAGCCTGTGTCCTTCTGGGTAACTCCCAGTTACCCCCCCAGGCATGACGTGCTGTTGTATGGAATACCTCTTTGGCTAGCTTGGGTCAGGTGTCCTGTCTCTGCTTCCTCCCGGCTTCCCCTCCTCCCTGGCAGAGCATGAGCCTCACAAAGTCCTTGGTCAGGGTAAACATTACTGAGCAGCAACTGAAAACACTGGTATTATCAGCACTGTTCTCAGGCTGAAGTCAAAACACAGCACTGCACCAGCTACCATGAAGGAGAAAAATTGACTGCTACTGCTAAACCCAGGACAACATGGAATAATCTCTGGTCACTGCAGGTTCTTTGCATTTGCTCCTTGGAAAGCAGCAGTTTGCTGTTTTCCTGCTGGGTTTTTCATCCCTGTTCAGGATAAACTTTCCCTTCTCACTTTACAGAAGGGAAACGCTGCAAATATTGAAACATAAAAAAACCATGTTTTTAGGGAAGCTCGCTGTTTCCACGTGAATTGTGAATTAACTGCAGCATATTGGAAAATAAGTGTATGGGATGAAAGTTGCATTTAACCTGCCACTTCAATGTAGAAGATGAAATGTCAAAGCAAAATGAAGTATTTAGTATTAAGGTCTTTAAAAGGAAGTACTTAATCTGAAACTGTTGATCTAACATAAGTTTTGAAACTACAGGTACACTGAACTCTTGTACACTGAAAATTCTGAGATCAGATTTTATCATGGGAAAACCTCTAGAGAGAAGCCTGAGTGTGATCCATATACACATGTGTACAGGTCTGTCTGGTCCAGAGTGAAACCACACTCTGCTACTATGGAGACAACACAATTGAGATTGGCTGCAGGAATCATTACCTGAGTCCTGGGAAGCACTTCAGGGTCAGCTGGGATCCTGCCCAGGATTTCACAGAGGACAATGCCAAAGGAAAACACATCCACCTGCAGAAGGGGTGAAAGAATGGGAGGTGGGACAGGACAGGCACAGAAGCAAAGTGTAAGAAAAAGGAGTACCAACAAGGTCCTCAAAAAAAAACCCACAAATGTTAGACACAGAGGCAGCAAACTCCTAAACTTCTGGGCTTCTGAACCCACCCAGAAAGACCTCATCTTTGGAAAGCCTGGTCCCATGCTCAATTGTTCAATATGTCTGGTGTTCCTACCACAGCTCTGGCTCTCTGCCCCAGATCCTGCAACAGGCTCATGGGGCTGTAACTCACCAAGCATATTCCTCAGAGAAGCTTCACTGTGTTTGTCCACAGCAGCAGTCCATTTTCCAAAAAGTTCAACTTAACAAGGCCACGTAAGAAACTTGCAAGTTGCTAAGTAAAACATTACTGAGTAAAGGTCCAGGTAGCAGAGGCAGTGTTTCCCAGGGAAGGAGGGAAAGGCTTTTCTGCTGCTGGGACATGTCACCAGCAAGCAGAAGAGAAATCTCCAATGCTCACTTGGGGGCTCTGGGAATGAACAAAGAGCTGGAAGCAGTGCCATACCTTCCGGTCATAGGGCTCTCCCCGCAGCATCTCAGGAGCCATCCAGAAAGCTGAGCCCACCAGAGAAAGCTTCCTCTCCACATCCTTCACAGGCAGCTCCACTACCTCCCTGGCCAGCCCAAAGTCAGTCACCAGTGCCTCGTGGCCCCGCGGCGTCACTCGAATGAGGCAATTCTAAAAGGAGCCAGTGGGACATGGCATGAGATGCCTACTGAGGAAGGGCCTGGGCACTTCACTGAGGAGCACCTCACTAACCCTTGGCCCAACCTCGCTATCGCAGGCCCTCCCCTCACCAGAGACCTGCATCCCAGCAGCAAAACTGGAGTGCACAGAGCAGATATGGGATGAATGAATCACATCTGAAGCCAGGAAAGGTACTTGGAAGAAGCTATTCAACGAACATGATCCACATCCTTTTCTCCGAAGGAGACCTCGAAATCTTGCATGTTGACCCCCTTCAGCTGTGGCAGGATCACAGCCACAACACTTCTCACTACCCATGGCTACCCACCCCTAACACTGCTTTCTGGAGGAATTCCTATAAAGTTTCCCCAAACCCCATCAGTTTCAGCCTGTTCAGGTTCCCAGGATTTCCTCCTCAGCATCTGCTCCCAGGGAACTAGCTTTCTGCAGATGGCTCTCACTCAAAAACTAGATTTCAGGTACGCATGTACACACATCTCTCACACATCTTCCGCCATCTGCAGGTTTCTTAGGTTTCCCTGGGGAAGGATGAACCTCTTCCAGGGGTTCCTCCACAGCAAGTCAGAAAGGACTTCTAGCACTTTGTACAAGCAGATCTGGAAAGCTCCTGAGCTCACCAGTCACCACCAAATAGGAAATTACATCTCACCTGACTTCAGAGCACATTGGCCAAGAAATCTATAGTCAGAGTGAACCAGGTTCTTGCCTTGTCATCAGCCTGGTAACTGAGGCAAGTAAACAGCCTGAGAATACATAGGTGAGTTTTATTCCTGTGCTGATGTCTCTCAAAACTGTATCACTTGACTGGCTTCCCCACTGCTGACCTTCATCCATATTTCACATTTTTCTTAAAAATCTCACTGAGCACCAACAAGAACAGCTTTAAGACATACCCCACTACCTACTCAGCATCAACTGCAAGGACTTGCAGGCTCCATTTCAGTGAGCCACTAAGCCTGCCTCTGGCATCAGCTGACACAGACATGGCCCAGGCTGGTGGCCAGCCCCTCAGCTCACATTCCCTGTGGTATCATGGACATGCTACAGATCTGCCTGAGGTTTGGGTAGTTTGTCCAAGACAAAACAACAAGGCACTGTCCCACCATGTTCCTACTGCCATACCAGTAGCAGAGGAAGAGCCACATTATAGCCCATCACCATGGACAAACCTTACAATGGCAAACCCCAGTGCTCGTTCCTGCCTCCCTCGAGCAGCATGAGCCCATGCTGAGAAAAGCAGCCACCCGGGCACAGGGCTAATACATCATGAACATGATGTACCTTTGTGTTACACCCAAAGCCTGTCTCCAGATGCCAGACTGCAGAGTTACCGAGACCCATGGAGATGACCATCCTAAAATTGGTGATGTGGACCCTTTGGATCAAGGAAGAACAACTTCTCTGCACTTGAGGAAACACACATCTCCTGGTGCTCTGCACACAGACGGGGACCATCTCACATGGCATTCATTCCTAGAGCCCATGATGAGCTCCTGTTAGCAACAGCTTCCCCTTTTCTGTGAGCAGGAAACTCTAAATCTGGAAGAGCTTCTCTTGCAACTGTAGGCAAAGAAAACCATGTGCCATCCTGCACGCGTTTCCATCTGTTTCTTTGCTGAAAGCAACTGCACTAGGAGTAATTATTTTTATCTCTATATGGGTGTCCTGCTTGCCAAGTGATGAATGCAATGTAATGATGGGTTTTATCAAGAAAGTTTTCTTGCCTGCAGAGGGATTAGCATAGAGCAGAGGATCAGTGTGAGTCCTCAGGCCTCATGGTTACCTCCGTAAAGGGTCCTCTACACAATCAACTTCAGCAGTCCAGAGGAGATGTCCCCTTCCTAGTGCATACCTTGGAGTTGAGATCTCGGTGGTAGATGTTCTTGGAGTGCAGGTAGATCATGCCTCTGGTGATATCAGAAGCTAAGTCCACTTTTTCCTTCCATGTCAAAGCAATGTCTTTGCAGGCCAGGAGCTCCTCCAGGCAACCCCCATTCACATACTGTGGAACACAAACAAAAAGCAGTGGCTGTGTGGCCGGGCACAAGCTCTGCTGGAGCTCCCAAGAATCCCTCCTTCAGGTTGAAGGTTGGGAATACCACTGCGTGCAGGGGCCCCTGTGTGTGGTATGGTGCAAATACCCCTCCTGCCACAAGTAGTCACTACCCGTCTCTGGGCTCTGCCCCACTACAGGGATGCTGTACAAGCCAGATGCAGTCCTCCCTCACAGGCAACAAACTAGAGGCAAAAAGCCTAGCAGCAGCTCAGTGAATGCCATCTGCCACCAACAGCATAGGAACAATGTGAGACCTTGCCAGTACCAGCCCAGGCTTTTCCATTAGACCACACCACCATTCCAGAGCCACCATGGTGGTTCTGCCACTGTCTGCTTGACTTTCTATTCCTGCCTCCTCCCTGCCATCTGGCCCATTCTGGCCCTTTGGTGGTACCAATCCAACCTGAAACACATTTTGGTTATCCTGCCTGAATCTCATGGCCCTGCAGTGAGCGTGACCACCTGTGGAGGAGAAAGGACAGAAGCTCCTCCAGGGCAATCTTGCTGGTCTAGAGCCATTCACAAGCACATGAGTTGGAGAAGTGTAGGTATGCATTATAGAATATCTGCCATCCTCCCTGCCAAAGAATTGCAGGGTCATTGCCTGTTCACAGCACACTCACAAGCTAGAAATCTTTACCTCCAGAATTGGGTACAGCTTTTCATCCTTCACGCATATCCCTAGGTACCTAAGCAAAACACACCAAAAAAAAAAAAAAGCAAAGAAGTCATCAAGGTTCAGCTCAATCCCTCATTGCAGAACTGCCTTACAGACACCAACCCAACTCCAGCCCCAGGCAGTGCCCACTGCTCGTGGCTGGAGGATGTGCCCACCTGACAATGTTGGGGTGGGACAGCTTCTGCAGCAGGCTGATCTCACGTACAATCACTTCTTGATCCACATCATTCTTGTAGATCTTCACCACCATCACTTTAGAAGCAGCAGCCTGGGTCACCTGGAGCCAAATTTAGAGCAAGACACCTCATAGCTTCCAGAGGTCTGCCAGCCCCTCTGGAGAACAGCATCCAGTCCCAACCAAAGGCTTGAACCTCACTTCCCTGACGCCCAGAGCTTTTGCACAGTTATTTGCACAAGCGCAAAGTGCTCTCCCTTCCACATAAGCTCCACTCCAGTGATGCCTGCTTGGGTGGCTGCGGACAGCTACATCCCTCCTGTCCCAACACATCACAACACTATTTCCCTGCCAAAATTTGTGGGTTCTTGGGCTCTTGGGAGGAGTTTCTCAGCCCACCCTGGGTTACCACAAAGCTGTTCTCCCCTTTAATGCCTTGATTCAATGTCCTTTCCCAAACACAATCTGCCCCCCTATCTCCATCATTCCTTCCTACCTGGGCCTTATCACTGCCCCAGCTGCTGGTGACACTCCCCATCCCCAATTCCTCCTGTACCCCTGCCCATGGCTAGCTCCCCTCCACCCAGGCTCTGCCAGACAGACCCAACAAAGAAAGCACAGAGTCAGCTCATCTCTCCCCCACATCCCAGGACAGAGGTCCCATGTCTGCTTCCTAGCCACATGCTAACCTGAACCCCTGCTATAGAATACGACCAGACATTTCACTCCTAGAGCTTCCCCCAGGCAGGAATACTGGAAGCTAAAGAACAGCAATCAAAATGCTTTTCCCCTACCTTACAATCCAGCCACATGTCTAATCTTCTCTCATTTTGATGTTTGTGGGGTTTTGTTTGTTTTAAGGGAAGAGTATTATCACCCATTGCTCTCTGTTATGGATCACTTTACAGATAAGGTTATCAACTCAGTTGAGGGGAACAAAGAGCTAGACTTACCTAGGCTGAAAGGACAGAAAGGGTCATTATAATCAGGGTCACAAAGCAAACTGTCTTCAGCAACATGAACTGCTGCTTCCTTTCTGAAGGAACTCAACCTAGTAGTCAATGTTATCACTGGAATAACTCAAGCAGGTCATAAGGAAGCCAGAGCTCTGAACCCCTCACCTGATGGGACTTCATAGCCACAGACTGTAGGTCACCGACCAGATGTAACTGATTGTAATTGCACAGGCGTAAATATAAAGGATGCTATCAATCATTTCTGTGAGTGCCCTTATGCCCAGCACAGAGTACAGGGAGCATTTGAAATCTGGAAGATCTGAAAAACTTTCAGAAGAGCTAATACTGAGTTTCAGTGAGACCTACTAGCTCTGCACAAACTCTGGTGGAGACTCTGAGCTACACTCAGCTTTTAGGTGAGGTTGCATGTCCCAGCTGGACACCAGTGGAGTTCATAATTACACTGCCCAAGCTGGTAGAGTCAGTAGGCGCTGGAGGGGTTCCTGTCCACAGGGCAACGTAAAGTCCAGCCTGGTGTGGAAAAGAGATGACTGAAAAGCAAGGGTAGACCTACACACCAAAACCAGTAGCGGGAGAAACAGGCAAAGGTAACGGGCTCAGAAGGCCTCTTCTAAGACCACATATATTCATATATAAACAGTTCCCTATTGCACATCTGAAAACTAAGAGAAAAAGAGAAAGTACCTTGTGCCCAGGTCATACAATACATAACCCATAGAGCAGAAGGCTGTGCCAAGACCTCTTGAGTCTGAGTCACCAAGTAGAACTAAGTTCTCAGCCAAGCCACATATAACTCCTGAGAATTGGCTTACCCAAAAGAAAAAGGACAGCAAAAGCAACAGGCAGCCAGCACAGGCAGTGCCAGCACCACGGGGAATCAACCTATGTTCTTCCTGAGAGAGCACTTTGGAAGACACTATCTGTTGGCAAAGAGCTTCAAAGGACCATGGCCAGTGATGCTTCGCAGCAGGAGTTCTGGTGTTCAGGGCTATGAGTCCAGATGGGAGTGGCTGACCCAAAAGGACGACAAGTCATCAGAGCACTTGATTATGGTCATGTATCCAGACAAATGTCAAGTCTCCACAAAGGACAGTCCTTGTCCCAAATCCTCCTCCACTGTCTTTTGACTATTTGACCCATAGCATTTCATTCAAACTTTTTTTTTTTTACATTTCTTTTTCTGCTTCTGATTCAAGAAGTTATCTCATCTTCACTCAAGATCCACATCTCCAGCCTGCCTACTGCTGGAATTTCATTCACTGCCAGGGCAGGAGGAAAATGTCACACACAGAGGAAACAGCAACTGTTACTATGAAAATCTGCTAGATAAAGGAGAAAGTGATAGCAACAGCATGCTGTGTAGGTGGGGAAAGAAAATACTAGAAGGAGGCTGTAGTGGGAAGAGGTATTTGTCATGCATTGCTCTAGTGTGCAAAGAGCTGCCACACACCTTTGGCTGGAGATTTCCCTTGAACAGCTTTAGTGCACTGTCCCAGGACCTGGCAAAGTGACATGACATCTGCTTTCAGAAATGAAGGCTGAGTCTTACTTCCTAATGTGACACATCTCCTTTCACTTGCTGTTCACAAAGCCAAGGGCTGCAGGGAAGAGACCCAATGCCCATCCACTCCCTCTTAATGAAGCAGTGGCACTCCCAGGCTGAGGAGCAAAGCTAGCAGCACCCTGGATCCTGTCCTTGCTCAGAGAGGGTTAAACAAACTCCCACACAAATAGACCTTGATGCAGGGAGGAACTTGAAAGCCCCAGTGAGAAAAGCAATTTTATTTTGGTGACACACCAGCCTGCACTGGCTTGCAGGGAGCCATGAGTCTCCTGACACTAAGGCAGCAGAGGCAGAAGCAGACAGACCAGCAGCCTCTCCCAGCTTGACCCTGCCCCAGGCCCCCTGCTCTTCCCCAGCATCACCATATCACAGGGCAGCAGCTGGGGAGGGGTGACAGCACTGGCGTCTCCACAGCGTGTGGGTGGCAGGTCTTCCAGGAGACACCCACAGCTTAATTTTATGTTTTCTTTCTCTGTATATTTTGCTACACTTTTGGGAACAAACCACAGAGCATAAATATCCCCTGATCTCATCCAGCACCCAGGTTAGCTCCCTGACAAGATTGTTGCATGGCCAGACGACAGTATCAGTGAACACTGACCAGATGATCCTATTCCTTTTTCACTGTGAAAGGGGAGATGTGCATCAAAGACAATGTGCTCGGTGTGCAGAGGGGTTTCCTCCCTTACCTCATCCAACCTGCTAGAGAATGGATGAAGACTAGGAAATAAATTTGGGAACAGATTCCTCAGGTAAGGCACTATCTACACAGCCTCAGCAGCTACTCTTACACAAGGTCGTGGGCTGCCTGCATGTCAGTTTACCTTGTAGACCTTGGAGAAGAAGCCACTGCCTATCAGCTCGGCGTTGAAGTTTTCCCAGAACTCCAGCTTCCTGACAGCAGTGCGCAGCCTCTGCCAGCGGTCCACATGGTAGTAGGTGTCAGACGATTCACCATAGCACTGCATGGGGCCAGAGGGCTCCGGTGCGATCAGTCCCGCTTCACACATCATGGGAGCAGCAGCTAAAACACAGTGTGTTTCACAGTAAGCCGTCAGTGGTATTTGAACATCAAACAAATACCTGCACTAGAGACCAGGACTCAATAAAGCCTGAGGAAATGAGGGAAAGAAGATGTGGCACTGAGATGATGCACCCTGAAGCACGTATTGCACTAGAACCCACTGGAGTTAGGCCTGCCTTATGCAGGTTGTATTCAGATTTCTTTAGATTAGGACTTAAAGATGTTAAATCAGAATATACCTTCTTATACCTTCTAAAGGTTTACAGCAGGTCAGATGCATCACCTTCCAGACATGACAGTGCAGCCCAGGAAAAGTCTAGGGGTCTTGGTCTTGCTCAGCCAGCTTATGTTGGGTTAAAAGCCACTGTGTCTAAACTGGCCTTTCAGTATACGTCACATGCCACATACAAATGCCAAATCTGTTCCCCCAGAGCTCTAGACAGGACTTAGCTACTATTGCAAACACAGGGTCATGACTTGAATGTGGTAGCAGGAAACCGTCCTAAAAAGGTTTTCACTTTGGCAGGTGCCTACATTTCATTATAAGCCCTAAAGAATCACAGAACAAGGGCCCCAGCAACCCTCCTGCTGTCTGTGTCCTGAATTTGACTCCAAGTGCCTCTGCTGAACAGTCTTCCTCTTACACTCCTCTGTTTCTCACCGTTCCCTCTCCAGTCCCCTCACACTGTTCCCGTTCCTGCCTTTTATAGCACCAGACTCACACTCCTCCAAAGCCATATGCCATTCTTCTCCTTCTCTCACATCACTTGCCATTCCAAAATGCAGGGGAGGCAAATCCAGTAGAAAATAGGCTTTCGACACCCTGAGGGAGGCGAATAGGGTGCCACTTCCTTATAACTGTAACCAACCACTGGTCTGCTACAAAGCTGTCTGAGCAACTTCCACTGACAGCATGTGCCAATTCCTGGGGCTCTGGCGAGCTGCTTTACCATACTCTGACCAGATGAGACAACACACAACAAAGAGCAGTTTTTCAGTGCTTCCAGCTGAAGCAAATGTAAGCTCTGCTCTCCCCAAGCTTCTGCCCTAGGTCTTGCACCAAACAAGAAGCTCTATCAGCACCCTGTGGATTATTTCATAGCTACTTTGCTTCTACAGGGAAAGGCAAAATTTCCTAGAATCATAACCTAACAGTTTGGGTTGGAAGGGGCCTTAAAGCTCATCCAGTTCCAACACCCTGCCACAGGCAGGGACACCTTCCACTAGAGCAGCTTGCTCCAAGCCCTTGTGTCCAACCTGGCCTTATGTACCTTGGACATAGATCTCCTGAAGTTCTGGGCAACGTGTCAGGGGTTGGGGATTTTTAGTTATTAATTTGCACTAAAAATATTAATGACATTGATGTCAATATCAATAATACTAATTTCCACTGAGACATGCATAAAACGTCTGCACCAGGCACCTCGTCCCCCCACAGTCCTGCCAAGATCCAGAGCTGCCAAACAGGAACAGACAGATGTGGTGGCAGGGCTAAGTAGGGCAGGAATTTAGGAAGAGCCAAGGGCAGGGACATGGGGCAGGCAGACAGCTGGCACCAAGCAGGGCAAGGGCCCCTGACACAAACAGCAGGCAAGCTCCAGGCTGAGATTCAGGGAAACGCAATGAAGGAGAACAACAGCACAAACTTCTCAAAGCAGCCAGACCCAAGACTGCCACCACAAGACAGTCACACACAAACTGCAGGAATCCAGTTCGAGCAAAATCAACACGATACATGGGCTCCTACCTGGCAAACACCTGCAGGACCAAAGCCTTGGAAATGCTCATGAACAGAGGAACCTGTGGCCATGATCACTGGAGATCACTCAGATCAAAAAGGGCACATGAAAGAGATTACAGGGCCACAGTTTTACCCCTGCTATGACTCAAGGACAGGCAACTAAGTAACATCCCATGACAGGACACAGCTGCAGGGGCCTGCCTGGAGGTTTTTGCCTTGGGATGGTAACTGCTCCTTACAGCCAGGACCACTGAAACGAGGCCGTGCCCAGCCCCTTCCCATCCAGCCTGCACCCAGGCACCATGTACTGGCACCAGGGGAGAGGCTCATGTGGAAGCAGGAGACAGGATTCACCAAACACAGCCCTGCACCAAAGGCATTACATTCCGACAGGGATGATTCATCCAGATTCTGCAGAGATCTCTCTCTGGTGTACAAAACGGCCCAGCTCTAGCAGAGTTTGTGGGATGGATGCAGCAGGGCAAGGCACTGGGTGCACGAGCTGGTGGCAGGGTGCAGCAAAGGGCTTTTATTGCCCAATGGCATGCTCAGCATGCAGGGTCATGGCACAGCAGGGCAGACACAGGAGGTGCTGCAGCTCCAGGCCGAGCAAGTGGTGCTTCATGCTCAGTCAGCAAGACACAGAGAAGCTCCTCCGCATCCCGCACAACTGGCCAGGATATAATGCTGACAAGGTCTAAGTGATCCTTCTGACCCCAAGCCACCAATGAGGATGCACTCTCAGCATTTACCCATTCCTGCACCCAATCCTGAGACACAGGTTTGCCCTCTCCTGTTGTGTGGATGGCAAAACAGTAACACAGTGACCCACAGCCTCACTCCAGAGTGGTGGTCACTCACTGGCAAAGCTGTGGTGAGCACCCCCAGCTGCTGCTTTAGCTACCAGAGACATATTTACCCAGCAGGCTCTGAAAGCCTCTCCCTCCACTTTAGCACCCTTCAGTCACAAAGGAAAAAGGAGCCGTTCCCACCAGAGCAGCAGACCTGACCCCAGCCACCCTGGAGCCCCTCTTGCCTGCAGGGTGACCCACAGGTTCCCCTGGGCAAGGCAGGCTGCCTGAGGCTGCCTCTTCCACAGGGAATGGTTTCCTTTCCAGAGACCTCTCTGTTCAATGCTTTTCCCATGTACCATCTCTTCCCTCCAGGACCTAGCTCCTCAATTGCCTTCTTTGTCCAGTAAAGAATCCCTGCAGCATCCCCAGCACGCCAGGAATGGCCCCTCACATTATGCTGCTGAGTGGGAGCAGAGTCTTTATTTTTTGCTTATAAATGTGGCTGTTTGTCCCCAGATTAGTGCTGACACGTAGGCTGGGGGGAAAAATGGCCTTTCAAAATGCCGAGATTTATTTGAAGGCTTCCTAGGGGCTGTGGAGGACAGGGAGCAGGAAGGGCAGTCTTGGGGGGACAGCCCACAGCCCTGGACAGCAGGCAGGGCACATTCTCGTGTCACCAGCAAGGTTGAGAGCACCCAAAGCCCTTTTATCTGAGCAGGCAAAGCACTGGGGCAGCTGCCCCTATCTCCAGTGCTCCCAGATCAAATTCCACCGGCGGGGAGGACACAGGCTGAGGCACAGGAGGATGCTTGTCTCTTTGAGGCTGCCTTGCCTTAAGGGAGGGGGAAAACAGAGCCACTGGCTTTCACCACCCTCTGGGGAATCTGCTCATGTTCTTGAGCTTTCAGCTGCTGCCTCTGTACACAGCAGCCAACATGCACCTCCCAGCTCCCCAGGGTGGCAAGAAGCACCAAGGAAGCAGCTCACAGGCGGCCTGGAAATGATTGGATGCTGCAAGCTGTCACTGTAGGGAACACACGCCTTGACAGACTGAAAACATTACATTAGCAGTCACTTAGAAAAGCAGCCCTGGGACACCTTCTTCTGGGTCTTTCCTCATTGCAAATACCAGAGGTACCTGCTGCAGGGAATTTCCTCCCCTGGTCTGGCTCCCCAGCAGGGCTCACTGCCCCACCACGGGCTCAGCAAGGCTCCAGTACTGCCAGGGCTGACAGAGACCCTCAACAAGCCTGGGCATGTACCCCGAGAGGGCAATCACAGCCAAAAGTGTGGCTCCAGACTCATCACCACGGCTGGCTACAGTCAGGGAAGGGCATGGCAGGAGCAGGCAGGCACTGGGGGGCTTGTTCTGTCTCTTCAGCAATGCAGCACCCACTGCTCTCAAGTAAACAACCTCCCAACAGACCAGTAACCCCAGACAGCCCCGAGCAACTGCCCAGGCCCTGCTGTGAGGATACAAAGCCCAGGCTTCACACCCTTCCTCTAGACAGCCAATTTTCCTGAAGAAAAAATAAAGGAAGAACAGACTCTTCCTCCCCTCACCCACTGGACAGCCAATCTGCCCGGACACTCTTTCCAGGACTTTTCTTCCCATCATCAGGAAAGCAGAAAGATTCTCACCAGCCTCCTCTGCCAGTACGCTGGGCGTTGGACTGGGCTCAGAGATCTCCCTGGACCAGGAAGCCCAGTGTCTGATGGCTGGAGCTTTCCCCTCAGGAGCAGCACGTAACAGCTTATGTAGTGCTTACTAACAGGCCACACAAGAACCTTCTGCGATCAGAGATCACTGCAAACAAAACATCTTTGCCAGGACAGCAGGGTGCCAGCACTGGGGTCTAAAACAGGGGAACCCACCCTTCCTGGCAGGCAGGGGGGTGTGCTCTGGCGGTTTATGTAGGCATGCATGCACACTTGTGCACAATTTGGCCTTGAAGGGATCATATACGGAAGGATGTTTAGAAATCTGTAGATGCTCATCAACATTTTTTAAGCATCTAGCACTGGGGTTTAGCTGATGAGTTGCTGATAATGATTCTGATGCTTCACTGATGGCCAGTTGATTACATCTTATCAATAAATCAGTAAATCACTTCAGTCCCCATATGTTTTAAACCACAGGAGTTGAGTGGTCTTCTCTTGCAGCACAGGTGATAATGAGGTGCATGGGAAACGTTCCTACAGCCCTCTCCATCCTGCCCCCTCTGCGCTTGGCTCACCCAGATGGAGAGATGAGTGCTCCTCAGTTCCTCCAGAAAACAGTGGTAACATTAGATGAGATCATCTATCTAAGCCAGCTGAACAAAACACCTCAGTAGAGTTACTCAGCCTTTACCACTGTCACTAGAAATGGACTTTCTTCCGTTCTGGCTTTTTATAACAGACATCAACAAACCTTGTCGTAGTATAAGAACAATGTAAGTCAAGCAAAACCAAAGTGGATTTGCTGACCAATACTACGCTGCTGAACCCTAAGAATATGTTACCAGTATATTTGAGTTCTTGACCCACAGAAAAAGAATTTACCAAATACTCCCAGCCTGCGGAGGAGGCTAAACCACAACTCCTGCTGTCCAGCAAGAGGGTGGTTTCCCACAGTTAAAACAGTGACATTCACTAGTGCAAGGATGTGAGGAACAGCCCTGCAGCCAACAGCTCCCAGCATCAATGGAGATCAGCTCCCTTTCCCTGGATGCCAAGTTAGCAGTTAGTTTTTCGTAGACATCCTCACTTATGTGAGAACACCTAGTCTAAGTTTAGCTGTTTCTCTCAAGCCAACCCAAAAATACATGACCTCTCCAGTCAAAAAGACAATTTTTTGCTGGGAAAAAAAAAAACCCAACAAAATGAATCGGGAAGGCAAATTCCTCTCTGCACAGGAAGGCAAATTAAAGTAAATTATGCAGCAGGGATAAAGGGACACTTGCATTTCATTTGAGCGTAAACACATTCTCATTAAATGAAATAAATAAATACAGCCTGGA